CCTGGGGCCACCCCTCCTCTCCCAGCTGCCCCTCCAAAGGCGGCTTCTGGGGTAACATGATATCGCAGCTAGTTGAGGTCTGACAAAGGAATTAAAATGAGAAGAGAGCTGACCCCTCCCCCCGTATGGGCTGCTGTTTAAGGGATCGACACTGCAGCCACACTTGAAATATTATTTTCCATCTCAAAATGATCCTGTCACACTGGGGAAGGTGCAGGAATGGATGACTTTTTGGAAAGAAGTCCCCTCTGTGAAGATCCAGCAAAGGTTCATGTGAAGCTTTGTTTTTCTAGGGGAAGCTGAGCGGAGCCGGGAAGCATCCGGCTCTGGTCAAATCATCCCCGGGACATGAGGGGGGAAGTTCCAGGTTGCCCAAGTGCAGGGGGAGGGAGGGAGCAGGCAGCAAGGTGGCGGGAAGCCCACCCCGGCCGGTTCGAGAGGACACAAGTGGCCCGGGGCGGGAGGTGGGCGGCACGGTTGGGGGCTTCTGTGCCACAGCCGGATGTCTCACTCCATGCGCAGGGAGTCCAGAGGTGTGGGCAATGTGCAGCTTTTGTGCATGTGTGGGCACACGGATTCTGGCACTTCTGGACACAGGGCAGGATACCGCCCTCAAGTCTGCTCAAGGATCCTGCGGTTGCATCCATGTTGGGAGAACTGGCCTCCCCCAGGTCACTTTCCGTTGTGCAAAGCACGCGAAGTGCATCAAGAGTCAGATTCTTCCATGATGTTGTCAGCATCTGCCTTAAAAATGAATCAGAATCAGACTCCTGCCTTTTAGGGTTTTCTTGCTACAAATCCAGACAAGCCTGGGCTAACAAAATGTCCTCATATTGGCCTAAGAATAGCTTTGTGGGGTACTTTTATGCCCCCAAAAAGGTACAAAAGAAGGTTAACTATATGCTATCTTACTCTCTTTTCAAAACCAAAAGTCTGAGCTAACATCTTCAGCAAGAATTAAAATGCTTTGGGGAAAAGTGTCTTTTTAAAGTGCTGGTTTGAAGTTTGTAGGCCAAAGCATTGTTATGCGGTACAGAGGGCAACAGGCCAAATATCATTATGCAGATTTTATAATTAGCATCTCTGAGGGGAAGATTAAGTCTCAAATTACCTGTACTAGCTGATACCTGCAATCCATTCTTAAACTGATTCAAACTGCCTGTGGGTTTAGCCAAGCAAAGACATCTTAATGGGCAGCATTTGCTTTGCCTGAAGCGCTTTTGTCTGGGGTCAAAAGGGACCCCTTTATCGACTAGTGCTAGGTTTCACATTGCTGCAGAGTCAAGGCTGAGAGCATCGGAAGAACCTTGCTGGAGCGGCCACTTTCCACCTAGGCCAGTGGGCTCTGCAGGCACCCCAGAAACCAGCGCACTAGGTGGTCAGCCAGGCCGGGTCAGGAGACGTACCACGCTGCCGTTTGCCCTGGGAGTGAGCGCTGGGCCTCTCAATTTTCAGTGCAAGGAAGCAGGCTATCGTTGCTCTGTGTGTGTGTGTGTTGGGGGGGACGCCCTAGAAGCTGTCGCCTTGACTCCCAGGGATTGCTGCTAGGCCCAGCTGCACCTGTGGGTGATGCTTTGTCCCAACACTCTGGGGTTCAAGTGAGGGTGTGCATGAAGGGAGCTCGGGGAAAGCTTTGCCTTCAACTTGGTGAATGCCTGGGCAACCTCCTGTGCGTGAGAGAGAGGAGGAGGGGAAAGGCAGAGGGGAGGCAGAGAATCAGAAGGGGAAGCCAGGCCGAAGCAGCCTCCCCTCCACCCACAGTCAATGCTCCTTAATTAAATGCATGGCAAGGACCCGGAGAAGCACATCTGGTTTCAATTTGCACAGCCCTTTGATGGCATCAGATGTTCTTTTCCCAAATCAAGGGGTGGGGTGGAAATCCCGGCCCGTCTGCGCCAGCTCCGCGCTCAGGCTGGCTCCCATCACGGAGCCACGAGGGCCTTCCCCTTCCCTCCATCGGCTGACCCCTCCTCCTCCTCCTCCTCCTCCTCCTCGGTTGTTTGGCCCGCTCGCTCGCAGAGGGCCTTGCCGCCCTGTGGATGCCGATTCAGGCTCTCCTCCTCCTCGCACTCCTTTTCCACGCTCTTCTTCCCAAGGAGGCAATGCACTCTGGGGCGATTCACGCGACACTTCTGGCCGGTACTTTTCAGAGATCAACGCCACTGAAGCGTGGGGGGAGGGGGCTCTGCTGTGTGGCGCTTCTGAAAGTCCACCTGTGCGGCACGCGGTGGCGGTGCGTGTGTGAGCCGCCCGAGCATGAGGCTGATGCGCGTTCGCAACAGAGGGCCCTGGGGACGGGGGAGCCCTGGAGCCTCCCCTGGGGCCTCCTTTCCCTGAGAGATCAGCTGCCCATCACCCTGCCGGCCAAGGGCACTTGCTGGAGAGAGGCACCGGGGCCCCCGGAGCCGGCTTCTTGCCCACACGGGCTTCACCTCCTGCTGCCTTGTGCCCTTGCCTCTTTCCACCTGAGGGGTTTTTCTGAAATCAGATGTTCTCCCCTTCCCTGTCCGTCCACAGATTTCCACAAAGCATGGTGTCCTCAGAAGAACAGGGTCCTTTACGCGCAGGCACACACAGCATTTGCACATATTTGCATTCCTTCGGCCCCGTGGGCCTGAGCCCCGACCTCTTCAGATGGAGCAGAGCCCTTGGGGGTTATTTCGGGGCCCGGGACCAGCCACAGAGGAGCGGCTGGAGATACACCCAGGAAGCAGCGAGGCCAGATGTGCTGCCGGGCTTGACGGAATGGCCCCCGCTGCTGTGCAGGAGCCCAAGTCTCGCCTCGCCTCGTGCAGCGGCGCAGAGCCAAGTTGCCCTTAGCTTCATGGATCATTTCCACCTTCTCCCCCTGTCCTGTAATTCATTCTCTGGCTAAAAAGGGAGGGGCTCCCCTATCGATTTTGGTTCAGAGACAGCCCTAAAAAATATGCAGGGCTCCCCTTTAAAATATGAATGAGTTTTGTGAAGACATCCCATGCCCTCGCTTTTCCAAAAAGGGCCTCTCTACTGGAAAGGATGCTGACCGCCTGCTCCATCCTGCCAGCCGTGGGCAGGGGCAGGGTGCAGCGGACCCCGTCCCCTCCATCCAGGGGCCAGGCCCCGAGGCCAGCCGTGTTACTTCAGCACCAAAGCAGAATGCCCCACATCGCAGCGGCCAGCTTCTGATTTGTCACAGGGGTGGATGGCGACAAAACAGAAGTTTCACTTTCTCCTGCAGGCACCGTCTTTTTCAGCTCTCACATTTGTTTTGTCCTGAAGGCAAAAAATTGGGCAAGCTTCGAACAGTTATTATCACATGTGAACTGAAAGTAATTTCTTACCCGGCTGAACTGGCAAAATTCAACAGGTGCAGGAACTCCCCGCATGGGGAGAACTTTCGTTGTCCCGCCTGCCAGGGGGCTGCTGCTGAGGAGAGGCTTGTGGGTGGGGCAGGCCCAGGCCCAGATCACCGCTAATGGGGCTGAACAAGCCAGGATTCACACCCACCATTTTGAAGGCTCAGCACTGACCTGCATCTGTGTGCTTTAAATCTCAGGTGCTTTCTGTCCTGAATATTTAAAAAGTGTGAAGTTGGGAAGGGTCTTATCCCAACCAAGCTGAGATGACATTCTCACCTGGCCCTACTTTATCCTTGGCTAACCTTCCCAAGGTTTCCCTCTGAGGCTCTCCAGCCCCTGTGAGGAAGAACTGCGCAACAGAGCAATCGCAAGCTGGACCAACATCCTTTCAAGGGGAGGCTGCCGCATTTGAGAATGTTATCCTAGTGGGAAAAGGCAAAGAGGGGAGATGTGATCGAACTCATGAAGACTATGGAGAAAGTGGCACAGATGAGGTGCTCGCTCTCTCCCCCTCTCTCCCTCTCTCTCGGGATCCTAGGACCCAGGGCCGTCCCATGAAGCTGCGTGCCTGGAGATTCACGGGGCGCACTGCGCTGTCCAGTGATGGAATTTGCTTCCACGAGATGCCGTGATGGCCACCAGCGGGGAAGACTTCAGAAGGGCTTTGGGCCAGTCCATGGAGGACCAAGGCTGCAGCTGGATGCTGGTCATGATGCCTCCTCCAGGTATTTTGCCCCCAAACAGCAGGGCTAGAGGACTTGGCCCTTGGGACGGGTGCTGTTTCCAGCACAGTGTGCGAAGCTCCAGACACGATCCGCCCGAAGCGGCGTCTCCTTGACTCCAGTGGGAGAGGCAAACGCCCCGTCACTTTCTCCTACTGAAATCATGTCCCTTGAAGGGGTTTCTCGCTGGCTGGATGATCCCGGGCCTCTTTAGCCAGACTGAAACTTCCACTTTCAGGTCTGCTCTTGCTAATCTTAAGCACCCTGAAGCGTCACTGGATTCGGCTGAAGCCCACACTTAACATTGGCTGGGGACTGCTAATAGTCATTTCTACAAATTTCATTCTGCAGCCATTGCAGGTAATGGATTTCCGGTGGACTCCACGGGAGAAACTAACCAATTAAAGTAAATTTTAGAAACCCTGGCGCATCGCAGATACGGCGCTGTGTGGAGCAACGCTCGGGTTCCTACGCTTCCTGCGTTCCTTGAAAGAGGAAGGCAGTCGAGGAATAAATGTAATCGCACAGTAACGGGCCCAAGAAGCGGAGGGCCCGCCCGAGGACAAGGGAGCGGTCGCTCCGCGGGCGAGAGGGGCGCCTGGCGGTGCCCGAAGCGGAGCGCGCCGCGCCGGGCCCGCGCCGCCCCTTCCCGCCCGCGGCCCGCAGCGAGCCCGTTGCCCGAGCAGGGAGCGGCCCGCCGCCTCTCCTCCGCG